CCGGCCAAAGGGGTGGGGGGAACCTCGAGCTGGGTGCCCAACTTAGCATTTCAGATCGCTCGAGCCTCAAGACCCGTCCACCAGGGATAATCGTCGGGAAGCGACGTATCACCGTAATAGCCGGCCGGAAGAGGAAGAGACTCTTTCAGTGCCTGACGGTCGACCTTGCCCTCCAGAGAAGTGCCCCTCGCGGCCGACTCCCACGCGTCGAATGTAAAGTGGAAGTACTGAAGGGTCGCGGGGCACAGTTTCTCGAGGAAATTGGGGGAGTTGCAAAACGCTCCTACGACCTCCTTCTGATAGGTGTCGAGGAAGACAGAACCCATCGGGGACTTGAGGAAGGATTTACGTCCCTCCTCATTCCCAATCTCCCTCTCGGCCACGTTATCTTCAATGGCCTTCGCCAGGTCGATGCGCAGCTTGTCGACCTTAGAGAGGGCGGCGGCCTTCTCAGATTTGAGTTTTGTGATGAGGGCATTGGCCGCCGCAAGGTCGTCATTCTTTTGCTCAAGCTCAGAAAGTAGCTCAGCACACTTCTTCTTATAGGCGTGGACATTGGAGTTTGGGGAGCTGGACTCCTCAAGAAGAGTAGGCATCACATATGCCATGAACTGAAAAGAGAAACAGAAAAAGAATAAAGATCAGTATAAGGCAAAAACGAGAATAAGAAAAATAATTGACCGAGGTCTCGAGAATACTTACCTACGAAAAACACAAAAGAGCACGACCAGCACGGTCGTAAGGGTCGCGGTCAGCGCGGGCCTTGTCGGCCGCCGGGATTACAGAATCAAGATACTTGGCGATCTCATGAGGATGAGGGTGATCCCAGAGTCGGGAGGGCCTCTCAAGTGTCACCGTCTCGAGGGCACCGGGAGAACGGGGAGCTTCGATCGCCTTTCCCTTATCTTGGCCCTTCTGACGTTTGATGGAGTCGGGGATCAGCACAAAGTCGGCCTCGTCTTGAGCCCTTTTATGGGACTTCGAGCCAGAGGCCTTAGGAGCTGATGCAGCCGAAGGACGGACCACTTTCGACTTTTTGGCAGCAGTCGTCTCGACTGCTACCTGCTTCGATCCGGAGCCGACACCGTCATTAGCATCGGTAGGAAGAGAGGAAGGCTTGGCGGATTTCTCGCCACCTTTTGCAGCTTTAGCCTCGAAACGTGCCAGAGTCCTAACTGAAAAAATAATAAGAAAAAGCGACAAAGAAATAGGTCATCAAGAAACACCATTGTCACTTACACTTACGATACAACCTACGAGTAAAGCAAGCACGTAAATAGGACAAACGCATGAGCTTACTAGGGTCATCAAGGCGAGGGGCGTCCTCGTCAACACAAAGGCCCACATGATTAAGGAGACTACGATCCTTAACCAGAAAACGAGCACTCCATTTGAACTCATTCAAGTTAGCCAGCATATCCTGGAACTGGCTCGACTTAGGACGAGGGGTGTCCTGCTGAACCTTCGAGGTAAGCAAGATGTTGGAAAAGGGGTACTGGCCGGGGGCAGGACGGATATAAAAGAATTTGGTTTTCCACTCAGTAACGTTAGAAGAAAGGTCCTCGAGGAAGGAAACACCAGGTCGGCGACCCAAACAGTGGGCATCCTTTATGAAACGGTAACTATAACAATACAACAAGAATTCGGGCAAAAAATGGCCAAGCTTTATTCTGGAAACTATGATAAAAGCTATCATAATGCGAATAGCATTAGGAGAGAATTGATTTATGGGTTCATGGTACATATTACTAATCGACAGAAGCTCAGGCTGGATTGGAAATCGCAAGCCGAACATTACTTGGTGGACGAAAAACGTGAAGCAGCCCTTGGGAGGATGGGTAAAGACGTCATTGGGGCCTGGGGTGATCAACTCCCAGTCAGAAGGCAAACCACTGAATGACCTAAAACCCTCGATTTGGGCTGCAGAAGCATAAGAAAACGGATTTAGAACAGCTAATCTGACTACGGGACAGGCTATGGTTACATCTCGAGATACAGAAAAAGGAGCTGATATTGACAGAGGAATGGGACTTGTCCTATACACGGGAATGTCTAAAAGTCCAAGAGGAATACCTCGAGGAAAGGAGGATAGTCGAGGGGAGTCGCTACCTCGAGCAGGGTCATCCTTATTCTTCATTATTTCACCCGATAGGAGGGCTTGAGTATATACATCTTTGTCGATCCCAAAGGTCGAAACAGATGAACCTTGGGATCCCTCTTGCTCGATCGCAGGCGCAGAGCCAATTATTTCGACGGAGCCAGAACCTGAATACTCTTCTATTTGACGGACGAGAGAGCCGGGCATAGAGCCAGAGATAGAGTCGGACCCAGAATCTATTGAAGAAAAATCGAGGAAGGATCAGCAAAAGAAGTAGAAAAAACGCTTACGATATGGGAACCCATAGAACACAAAGTCGACCACTGATGTATCTACTCGACTCACTCAATCCTAGAAACAAGGAATGACTGAAGCTCAAGGCGACTAAGGAGGTTAGAGAATCGACATAAGTCAACACGTAAAGGGGAAAAGGAGTCGTCTCGACTCCTCAAAGCGATACCCTCACAAACACGACTCAATCGATAAAAAGTAAGCATAGAAGATCTAGCGCGAACTTTACCAAGAACTTGCAAAAATCCTCAAGAATACGAAGAACATGAACCCAGGAATCCAGAAAAATTAAAGAAAAAAGAGAGTAAAAATAAATGCTAGAAATGAAATCAATACTTACACATGATGATTGAAGTAGGAAGTCCTGCGAAATCTGAGAAGTTCCCGGATGCGGCGACCGTCGGAAGCACCAAAAAGTTAGATTGCCGGGGATTTGAGAATTCAAGAAGGAAAAGTTGCAAAAAGTGGGAGAAGAGAAAAGTGAGAGGTATTTATAGGGCGGTTAGGAAAGCCCTAGCCCTGCGATTAAAGGGGAAATCAACGGCCAAGATGAGACACGGAATTCGAAGAGGCTAAAGGAGGATGAAGGCGGCGAGCCACGTACCGCCTACAAAAATTTGAAATTCAAAAAAAAAAGAAGAAAGAAAAAAAGGGGGAAAAAATGGAAAGGAAGGGGTTCAGTCCCGAACAAGTTCTAAGTGTGGGTCTCGACCACCAGTCATAATCAAATAAAATAAGTCGTCGACAGGACAAATGAAGGGCAAGGACGAGGCGACTCATCGCCTAACTACCAAACTTACTCTTAAGCTCGATATCGCTTAGAGTAATTTTTTTTGGGGGGGGGGGGGGGGGCTAGATGATATAGCCCTATTGTCATGGTCCGGCTCAGCTAGAGATTGCTCGACTGAAGGCTGCAGACGACCCCACTAAGTCGACATCAACGATGTCGACTTGGTCCATCGGCTATTCAAAAGCCGTCGAACCGGTCATGGTACCTAGTCGACTTCATAAAGTCGACCGGACACAGGACGACTTCATCCATGATGACGAGCAGGCATTCTAGTAACCCTCGGATACTTGTATAACTTCAGATCGACTCGATAAGGTTATAAGTCAACTTACAAGGACCTCCGACGACTCGATGAGCAGATGCGACACATGGAAGGTTCCTAAGTACAAGTTTATACAGGATAAGAAGGAATCTAGATGCTGACTCAAGAGTAAGCAGAATGTGAACCGACAGGGCATTTTGGGCACTTCATGTAAGTCGGCCAGGGCATTTTAGGGACTTCAAGTAAGTGTTTCTACCCCTATATAAAGGGTCTGAGGTAACCCTAAACCCCAACTATTATTCTTCTCATTCAATATTCAGCTGCTGCTCCCCCTGAGCAGAGCTCCTTCTCTCTTCATTCACTGACTTGAGCGTCGGAGGCTCTTCACCGGAAAACACTTCCGATGTTGAGTTCTTGCAGGTGTTCACTGCGGTCCACGGGCGACTTGGAGACGATTCGAACAGACCGGAGCTCATTTCCACCGGTTCACTCCAGATCTAGGAGGAGACTCATCAAATTGGCGCCGTCTGTGGGGAGTTCTTGAAGGAAGTAAGAGCTTCACACCTAGTTCCGATCTGTTTGACATGGCGGAGAAGGAAGGATTATCGAGGAATCTAAACGAGGACTTTAGGGCAGCGTGGACGGACAAGCGGCCGCCGTTAATTCCTGGCCCTAGACCACCGCTTCAGGTTCTCGGTTTTCCACCCTTTGGGGGGCACGCGCCGTCGGGGGTGCGTATTGAGGAAGAAACACCCATCACGCCTCCCGGGGTAAAAATTCTGGGAATAACACAAGGAGAACCCAGTCAAGTGAAGGGCACGAACACGAGAGCCGATGGCCGCGAGTCCACAGAAACGACTTTGAGCCTGGGAAAGCAATCCAGAGTGCTGGAACAAGTGACGATGCCACCACCCCAGGCCGAAGAGCAGATGATGACCGTGACGAGGGGTGAGATGCAAAGAATGATAGCGGAGGCGGTGGCAGCCCGACTCGAGCAGGTACAAGTCGAGAACCCCAGGCTCGAGCAGCCCAGGATCGAGCAGCCCAGGATCGAGCAGCCCAGGATCGAGCAGCGCAGGATTGAGCCACCACCCCATGATCACGAGCAACAAGCCCAGTCCAATGATAGGCAAATCAGAAGGGTGGAGGAGGAGGCGTCTTCCATAAGGACTGCCAATCCGCAGGCGAGAGATGAAACGCTGGAGCAGTTGCTGGCCCAGGTTCGTGATTTACAGGCCCGAGTCGAAGGGAGGAAAATTGGAGGCTCGAGGGGACATCCGTTCTCGCAGCACATCCTGGATGCCAACCTGCCGCAAGGTTTTCGTGATTTGAACATAAGTTATGACGGGTCGACCGATCCATCGCGTCACATGAGGAGTTTCGAGAATATGGCGGTTTTGCATCGCTATAATGACCCCGTGTAATGTCGAGCTTTCCTAACCACTTTACGGGGATCTGCACAAGATTGGTTTCACCAACTACCAGCGGGAGCCATCAAGGATTTTGAAGGATTCAGTGTGAGCTTTCTCAATCAATTTGCAAGTGTTAGGCCGCAGGAGAAATCGTATCTAACCTTAATGGGCATCCAGCAGAAGGAAGGTGAGTCGCTACGAGATTATGTGGCGAGATATACGCGAGCATGTGTCGAAGTGCCCAGGGTGTCGGAGGAGATAAAGGCAGGAGGTTTGACACGAGGGTTGTTACCGGGCTTGTGCAGGAATTCTCTGGCAAAGCGCCCGAGTAGAACGTTCGACGAAGTGCTGGGGAGATGCGCGAAGTATATGAATGTCGAGGAGGCGAAGATCGATTTCTCGCGAACGGCTAAAGAGAGTAGAGCTGACCCTCGGGATGAGAGAAGGGAGAAGAGAATTTCCTCGGCTGGGGAGAGAAAGGGGTCTCCGCGAGCAGAGAGAGAGGGGCGACCTAGGGGCTGGAGGCCGACTCAATACACCCCTTTGTCGGCCCCTCAAGCGCTAATTCTGGAGGTGATGGAAAAAGAGATTCATGACAATGTTGTCAGATGGCCCAAGACGAGAAAGGACGGACCAACAAGACCAAAGAGTAACCTATACTGTCGATTCCACAAAGACTATGGTCACAATACTGACGACTGCAGGCACCTTAAAGACGAAATCGAAAGGCTGATTAAGGCAGGACACTTAAAGGAATTCATATATAAGGACCGGGAAAAGTCGAGCAGAAGGAGGGAAAGGAGCAAGAGCCCTCGCAAGAGGGCGAGAACGCCAGAGAAAAAGGAGCTCCCACAGAAAAGGGGAACCATACATATGATATTTGGAGGATCAACTGATGGGGATTCGAATCGAGCAAGGAAGGCGTATGCCCGAGGGCGCCATGGAAAAGTCGAGATACAACAGGTCGATGAGAATGGACCGGTAATAAACTTCGGCCCGGCAGATGCGGGAGAAGTTGAGAGGCCTCAAAACGACGCATTGATGATAATAGCCCAAATATCGGGATATGAAGTGCAGAGAGTGTTTGTCGATACTGGGAGTTCCGTAAATGTGATTTTTTACGATTGTCTCAAAAGGATGGAACTCGACATACAGCTCACACCCCTTCATACCTCACTATTCGGTTTCAACGGGTCAGAGGTCGCCCCTCTAGGCGAAACCATGCTCGCTGTCGTTCTAGGGGAAGGTGACTTGCGGAAGGTGAAAATGGTGAGATTCGTGGTGGTTGATGTCGAGTCAGCTTACAATGTGATTCTGGGGAGGCCAGCACTTAACGCATTCCGGGCGGTAGTATCGACCTACCATATGAAGCTAAAGTTCCCAGTCGGAGACCAAGTTGGAGAAGCTCGAGGCGATCAAAAGCTGTCGAGGACTTGTTATCAAATCGCTATAAAAACCAACCAACGGGCCGAAGTTAGGGAGGGAAAGAAGCCAATGATGAGTGAGAAAAGGCCAAGGAATAGTGATCTCGAACCCCACAGGGAGCTAATGGAAATACAAATCGGAGAAACAAAGGAACAGACCACTAAGGTCGGGAAAGATCTGAAAGTCGAGCTACGAAACCAGCTGATCGACTGCTAAAGGAGTTCAGGGATGTCTTTGCCTTCACCCCTGAGGAGTTGACAGGGATCGACCCCGCTATTATGGAGCATAAACTCAACGTCGACCCCCTCAGAAAGCCAGTAAAACAGCGACTTAGACGTCACGGGGAAGAAATCGACAAAGCAATTGAAGTCGAGGTGGATAAGTTACTGCGGGCAGGACATGTCAAAGAAATCCAATTTCCCGAGTGGATATCCAACACCGTGATGGTAAGAAAGGCACTAAACAAATGGCGCATGTGCATCGATTTTCGTGACTTAAACCTGGCTTGCCCAAAAGATCATTACCCTCTACCACGAATTGATCAGCTCGTCGACTCTACGGCTGATTGCGAATTATTGAGTATGATGGATGCATCTCAGGGATACCACCAGATCCCGTTATGCCCGGAAGACCAAAGTAAGGTGAGCTTCGTGACGAGTAAAGGGACGTATTGCTATGTCGTCATGCCTTTTGGACTTAAGAATGCTGGAGCAACCTACCAACAGCTGATGGATCGAATGTTTAAATCTCAGATCGGGCGAAATATCGAGGTATATGTGGACGATATCTTGGTAAAGAGTAAAGCCTCGACCTCACACCCAGATGATTTAAGGGAAGCATTTCAAACTCTTAGGACGTTCGGGATGAAGCTGAACCCAAACAAGTGTGCCTTTGGAGTAAAGGCAGGACGATTCCTGGGATATATCGTCACAGAGCATGGAATCGAGGTGAACGGGGAGAAAGTGAAGGCCATACTCGACATGGCCCAACCAAGAAGCATAAGAGATGTACAAGTTCTGACGGGACGAATTGCAGGGCTGAGCAGGTTCATTGCTCGAGCCGCAGGAAAAAGCTTCCCATTCTTCAAATTGTTGAAAAAGAAGTCGACCTTCTCATGGAGTGACGAAGCACAAATGGCTTTCGAAAAATTAAAGGAATTCTTGGGCGAGCTACCCTTGTTGACAAAACCAGAGCCCGGCGACGAGTTGGTGCTTTATGTATCTGTGGGTTCGGTATCACTAAGTTCAGTGTTACTACGAGAAGAAGGAGGTGTCCAACAACCAATTTACTACACCAGTCGAGTTCTGCAGGGTGCAGAGACGAGATATTCTGAAATCGAGAAAGCCGCCCTGACACTGGTGATAACGGCTAGAAAGCTAATGTAATATCCCGACTTTTTATCAGTATAATAAAATTTTAGTTCCGATATTATTTTTCGGAATTAATTATTTTCAGTTATTTCAGTAGAAATTACCGGAACTATTTCCGACGTACCGTTTACGTTCGAAATAATTTTGGTAATTTAGCATTATGTTTAATTGGATAATTAAACATAATTAAGTGATTAATTTAACTTAATCACGAGATTAGCTTAATTGTTCAGATTTTATTCCGAGTTCATGCTCATAGCCGTGCATTGTTCGCAAATGCCGTGCATTGCTCGGTTCATGTCCTTGTGCATAATGCCGTGCATACGCTCGTGCGTGTGTTCGAGAATCCGTGCGCGCGTGTTCGGTCCGAGAGATCCCTCCAACTTAGTCCATGTACGCCGTGCAAGCATTAGTGGGCGGAGTGTCCAAGGCTTGTGTATATCCGTGCCCAACATTTTCATGTGTATCCGTGCGCCCTCCCTTGGCTTGTAGTGTAGCATTTTTATCTTCATTGCCGTGCATCATGTGAGCATTTTTGACCGAGCATCTTCACTCATTTTCTTGGCAATTCACGTGAGAATGAGACAAATTTTTTTAGTGCATGATGGCCATGTGTCTAGCCTTTGACCGAACCCCCT